CAGGAAATAGAAAAACAGAAAATGGAAGAACGTGGATAGAGTAATAGAGAAAGCAGACAAAAATAAGGAAAAGGCTAATTATTGCCAACCAGCAAAAGTAATGGACACAAGGATCAAAATCTTGAAATCATATACAATAGCATAAAAAATGTCCTCGTGAGAAGTCCAAGGAAAAAGCACATAAGTAGAAGTGCCAAATAAATAATAAAAGACAAAAGACGACCGGAACAAACTTACCAATGTAAATATTGTGTGACTACGGCTACTGAAGAGGTTAAAGTTATTTGATCCGACATGACGATGCTCTGAAAATTGTGTTTGAATGAATGTCATATATTTGGTACTTATGTCAACAAATGAGTGTTGAATGTGATACAACTCTTATATCCATTAATATCTATATTATGTCATATATTATATTTTGTTAACATTATTAATTATCCTTCTATAGTTAAAGAAGTTGAACAAGTCAATATATCAGCACTTCGTAAACTTGTATCCCAAAAACTAACAAAAATCATAATATTTAACTTATTTAGCGTCAAGTGTTAACTCTCGATGTGTTCTCGTTAAATTAGAAAACTGAAGTTGTGTTAAGCTTCAAGAGAAAAAAAAAATATTGACAGCATGCCGAGCTAAAGCAAATAATGAAGACAGATACCTTCTCCTGCAGCAATAAATGAAAGAGCATGTCCAGGTGACAAAACAACTTCTTCCTTTATACCCTCAACATAAGTTCCCTGTGCACATTGCCAAAGGCAAATAAAATGAGATGACAGAAAAAAACAAACAGGAGAATCTGGTAGAGTCAGCTATTGGATATGAATTCAATAAACGTAATATTGTAACTGGATAATGATTGCTTCAGAATTTGAATGTGAAACAGTTCCATCCAAGAGCTATGATTACTCCATTTGATCAATAAGTATTTAGTAAATTCATTGGTTCAATAATTAAAATGTTATCAAAAATATAAATGACGAACTATTTTGTATTCATTTCACTATCAACTAGACAGCAGAGGAGAAGAATTCAACAAAACTTGAATAGACCAAAATCATGTTATGAATGTGCAGCTAATGTAATGATGGCGTCTTAAAAGCTAATCTGATAACACAAGAAACTTCAAAACAGAAAAGACAGAGATAAGAGGGGAAAGATTAAGGAAAAAACCTGTGCGTCCTCTCTAACACGCAAATTCTGGGCAGCCGGATCCAGCAAGTCATTAATCACCTGGTAACAAGTATGTTTTTAGAATGAAGACAGCTAAAATAGCAGCTCTGTGGTAAAAAAATGGTACATAGAAGTTAACTGTGTTCTACAATCTACAACGTTAAAACTCAAAAGGCAACGCATAATGCAGAAACTTTCCGTACATATTGCTGAAAAATAAATTGCTCAGGCCACAAGTGATTATTAAAAAAAAAAAAAAAGACGAAAATCCTAGAACAATTCATAAAACATCCTTTACTGACCTCATTGTAGATCTCGAGATATGAGACCCGAAGTAAGAATTCACGACCTGGAGTCTGAAACAAAACTAACACCAGTCATTGGTACATCTATTATCCAATTGTTGAATCTCAAAACATAGTAGAAGTTTGAAAAAAAACAAACTTACATCTTGGATTATGCTGAATACATCCTTTATGGCCAACGGTATGATGCCAGGAGAAGTTTGATCTCCCTGATAAGATATGTTACCACGGCAAAATAATTCACCAATGTACATTGCACAACTCCCAATTTTACAATATATCCCTACACTAACTTGGGAGCCCAGAAATAGGGCAAACAAAATCAAGTGGTATAAGACATTAATCAGAATTAAGAAAATTTAAACATATCATGTTAATTTTATTTGTTAAGACATTCTGGTTTATTACTTAGAGGTTAAGACCTCTGAAACAATATACTAATTCAATGGTTTCGGCTTTAGTTCAAACCATGAATGAAAAAAGAAATAATCCTAGTTAAGTTAAACATCAGAATGAGAAATGAACTTACATGCATAGTATGTGTCTTTCCACTGCTGGTAACTCCATAAGCAAATACAGTTCCTGCACATCAATTCATGTGGTAATTTATTTGTGATTGAACATTTGGAAATATAATCAGCAATGCAAATAATTGTTCTAAGGATCTCTATACTGCCCACTGCTACACATATATTGGAATATTTTTTCGAGCAGTTATTTAGGAAATAACAAAGTTCGGATGCTATATCAAGGTGTCCGTACCATTAATACCATCCATCGCAGCCTTCACCACAGGTCGGGCAGCTACTTCATACACTTCTTGAGTATTTGTATTATGCCCAAACACTTTATCTGTAATCCAATGAATTGAAAGTACAAATGGTGTCAAAACAGCATTCCCGCAAACCAAACCGTAAAACAGGTGAGCACACGTGATAGAAGCTTACCAAATGCATAGGAAGTCATCGGATTATACTCATTTCGCACAATTTTGTCACCATCCGCATACCAGGCGATCTCATCTCCTCTGTTATATTCCCTGTCACTGCAACACAAAAGAACAATGCAAAAAGCTTCAATATCACTCCTCACAAATTCACAATCGTCCCCGTACTAACAACCCTAGCTTCAATCTCCCCTAATTTAGAAGATCCAAAAAATCAACCAAAAACAGATCAATAATTTAAGTCAAAACTCACTTTAAAGGTCGAAACCTAATAGTCACTGAAATGCTATCCCCCGATCTCGAAGCACTATCCATGGGCTCGCCGGCTAACTGGTCATCCATCGCCGGGTAACTCACCGGCGTCCGGCTGGATCTGGACCCGTACCCGCCGCCACCGGATGCCCCGGAAGTAGAGTTCGAGCGTGGCATTAATCGGCTGGTCTTCATCGACGACGAGGACGAGGTGGAGGAGAAAGGGCTCGAAAGTCTCCGGTGATGAAACGGCGAACTGCTTCTTATTCTAGACGATGATAAGGCCATTACTCCAAATCAATTTCAGAAAAAAAAAAATTACAAAAAAAAAAATCTAAAATCATGACAGATATTTCCCTCTCTTCTAATCGTAGATCCAGCAGTGTTCGTCGAATCCCAAATATTTTGAAAATTTTGAAAAAAAAATAAAAAGGTAAAGAGAAGAAATATGTCAGAAATCACATGGTGTCAACTGTCAAGCAGTATAAGTGGTGAACATTGCTTGATTTTCCATCAAAGTTTCATGAACACTTCTTTTTTTTTTTCTGTCAGAATAGAAAATTCATTCGTAATTTTACACAGATATACGTGCGTGTCTGTGTGCATAGCGGACATGAATGAAGAAAAGAGTTTCGTTTTCTTCTACTTTAAGACAGCTGAGTTGCAGAGAGAGCAGTGGACTAGTGAGAAGATGGACTGAGGATTTATTTTTTTTATTTTTTTTTTTTCTTCTTCTTGTATATGTAAATTTTCGTGTTATTTTTAAATTTAAATTCGTTGATTAAAATATGGGAGAAATTTCAGATGATATATTTTTCTAAAAGGTAAAATAAATAAAAGAGAAAACTGATAGTGCCATATGAGAGTTGTCGCGTCACAACACTGGTGATAAAGTTGTAAACGAATCGAACGTTCGTGAACAAAAGCTCGTTCGAGCTTATTCGTATTCGACAAAAGCTCGTTCGTTTATTAATCGAGCCGAGCTCGAACATAAAATTAGACTCGTTTAATAACCAAACGAACACGAGCTCGTTCGCGAACGTTCGATAATGGTCGCGTACATTAATTTAATATACTTTTATTTTATTTTTTATATATATACATAATATTTTTAATACGAAAATCTAAAATGTAAAAATATTTTTATTTTATTTTTTTATTTCCGAGTTCGAACGAACAAATTTCGAGTTAATCAAACATATTTAAAAAGTTTATATACCAAACTATTCGAACACGAACGAACTCAAATTTTGACGAACAATTAAACAAACGAGTTCGAACATGATTTTTTGCTCGAAAAATAAACGAACGAATACGAACACTGTTCAAACGTAAACGAACACGAGCTCGAACAGCCTAACCTTGGTTCGGTTCGGTTCGTTTACAGCACTAACTGGTGGTGAGATTTGGATATAGGATTTAAGGAGTAAAAAATGTCAAAAGTTACGTAAAATGGAAAAGGTTGATATTTAACAAATTAAATATATGTGAGAGAATACAAAATAAAAAAATAATGATTATAATTGATGAAAAATAAAAACAATAAGGTAGTAATTAAAAAGGAATGATAATTATAAATATGAGAATTGACGAATAACATTTTTCTAAATAATACTTTCTTTTTAAATAATATTGCATTAGATAATACTGCATTAGAATTCTTTTATTGATAATTATCTATGGTTTAAACAAAAAATTTCAATTGTATGGTATACATAATATTGTATTATGTAAAGAGAAAAGTTAATTATAAATAATATAATAATAATAATTAAAGTATGATAAGGAAAAACGATTATTCACATTCATTCCCATGGAACGAAGGAAGTGAATGAAACTATTATGTAAATACAAAATTTAAAATATTTCACATAATGTATAATGTGAATTGTTATTTTTTTTTTATTTTTATGTAAAAAAATTGATGAAGGAGTTCAATTTTTGTAGCAAACAAATGTTACTAAAATTATAGAGACAAAATTTGAGATGACAGTAATGATAATTTTGTTAAAAAAAATAATAAAATAAACTTTAACTGAATAAAAAAATAAATAATTATCCAATCATATTCATAGTAACAAAAGTATCATATTTTCAAATAAAAAATTTTCATTGGCAGTGCAGCAATCAAACTTTTTATTCTCTAAAAAATAAAATAATTTTAAAAAAAAATATTGTTACCGGAGGTCAACAGTCAACTTAACAGTCCATTTGTGTGTGTGTGTGTTTGAAATAATGTAGAATCAGTTTGAGCGGGAATAACAGAACTTCAGGTGAAATAGTCAGTAAATAATTTAATTAATTTACCTACGCAAGCAAAATAACCGACATGGCAGGCTGAACGGCAGTCGATGGCCTGGCGAATATCATGCACGCGCCGGCATAATTTGACAACATTCCACATTAGAATAGTTTATTTTTTAATAATTATCATGTAACATATGCATTTCAATTAAACCCAAATACCCCATGGTTATGCACTTATGCCTACGGGTGCCCAATCTATACTTATATAATAAGAATCTATATCTATATCTATATAAAGAGGTTGTTGGAAAAATACATTAATAAAAAGTTTGACCAAATAAATATAATGTTTGACTTACTATTAATGGAAAGTTCAAAAAAATACATGTGAATCTTTAGTAACAAAATCTAGAGATATTATATCACATAAAAACCAGCCACCGGCTGAATACAGACAGCTAACAACTGAATACAAGCAGCCAACAGCTGAAAAGTGGGAGGACAGGTCAGAAGACCAGCCTAGATAACCGACCCCAACAGGGTAAAATAAAAAACTACACACAAATACAAAGACCCCAACAGGGTAATACCCGAGTGTAGGATCCCAATGGGATAATAAGGTTACACTCGGGCAAACTGAGGCCAACGGCCCAGACCAAAAAAATACAATCACACAACCTAAAGACCAAACAAAAACACGCAACTACTAATCTTTAGTAACAAAATCTGAATCCTATTTTTTGGTAACTAATTTGGAGATTCTTATGACAAAATTTGAATTCCATTTTTTTCGTATCATATTTTATCTTTTTTGCCAAAATTTAAATCATATATTTTTTGGTAATAAATTTGGAGATTCTTATGCAAAAAATGTGTCAATTATTTATGAAAATAATACTAAATACAAATTAACTTAAAAATCGTACAAATTGGATACAAATTTTGGAAACAAATAGTTGTATAATTCTTAACCAATTCTTCCAATCTTATTGAATAATTTTTTCTTTAAAAAAAAAGTGTGTAAATTGGATAAAACCACATGCAATTTTTATTTTAGAATAAAACTATTATTTGGACGGGATGTACATTCACAATTGTGTCCACATTTTTTGGTAACAAAAGCGGTTCATCTTTGATATATAAAAATTAAAAAAATCTTAAAATATCCTTAAATATTTAACTTATTTGAGATCAAGATTTGTTAGGTCTTTTTAAGATTAGTTATGATTTAAAAGAAAAAAAATATTATACAAAATTTCACTCTAAATCTCACATTCACACTTAAGATTTCATAGTATTCCACTAAAAATTTGATCATCTTAAAAGTCTCAAATCTTAAAAAACCTCAAAATGGCACTCAAAAATTCTAAACGAATACACATATGCCTATATCGTCAATTTATAATTATTATTTAATATTATTTACCCGTGCATCGCACGGGCCACATACTAGTTAACATTTATCCAAAATAGTAGGTCAAATTATGGTCAATATCAGATTTACATTAAATATTTTTCAAAACTGGTAAGTTTTTTGTCCTTTTCACACTTCTCTTTAATTATGTCATTTTCACACTTCTCATTAATTATGTCATTTTCACACATCTAATTAATTCATTAATTACGACATAATTATCATAAATCATTCCATCTGAACTTTTATCGTTAAAATGTATAGCGATCTGTTATGACCTTATCCCATTGATATTTCCATGAAGCGTCCTTATCGCGTTCTATTTTTTGGTAACCACTCTATATCAATAACCAGATATTTGATTAATGATAGCACACGTCTTTATTTCAAGGAGCGGATATTCTTTGACCTTTAATTAATCTGAATTGATTGCCTTGACTTTTCAATTTTTAAAAACTTTTTTTTTAAATATTTCGGCTTAAGATTCGGATTTCATTATACCGGATTGTTTGAATGAAAATGAATGAAAAGAACACCAAAAACAGGTAGCCTTATTCATATAACCAATCCTAAAATATTAGTTTGTTCACCAAAAAGAGACAAATCCTAGAAATCCTAAAATATTAGTTTGTTCACCAATCCTAAAATATTAGTTTGTTCACCAAAAATATTAGTTTGATTTTTAGGATTTGTCCCTTTTGAAAATATTAGTTTGTGATAATGAGGAGTTACCAAATAATCAAACTCATAATGTTGTGTACAAGGAGGTTTTTAATAATATATGATTGTTACCAAACTTTTTATGATTCAACAATGTTCCTATGTATTTTAATGATTTCAATTTCGATCCTAATGCACGTGAGGTTATATTATTCTTTCAAATTTTACATCTCGTGCATTGCACGGGTTACGTACTAGTTACCACATATATTTTTTCAATAATTTTCATGTCACGCCTACGGGTGCCCAAAAAATAACCCCATGGTTGTTTATTGTTTAATTTCATTTAAATTAATATGATATAAATATCTGATTTGTAAACAAATCGAGTTCTCAAAACTTTTTGAATATGGCGTTTGTAGTTTGGCTTTCTACTTAACCAAAATAAATTATGCTTGTGATTCTATGGTTGGACACATTGGCAAACAAAACTGGGTTCGAGCTACAAATATTTTTTCAAAGGCGCATATTTTTTGCAATTATCTTGAAGTTTGATTTAATTATCAAATACTTAAATAATATTAAGGCAAAAGATTATATCATTCTGAATAAACCGGGTTGACGGGTGCGGTTCCACGGACTTGAAGTGCACCAAAGCAGGGAAGACCAAGTGAGGTTCCATCCCAAAATCAATTGGTGGAATGAGGAGTAGCCCATTAGACTTATAAAATAGATCTATTATCCATGTATGAACGATGTGAGACAACTCATAAGTAATATTCTAACACATTCATACAATTCTTTTTTTTTTTACTCTAGTCCGCTCACATTTTCTAAATACATATTTAATACTTAAAACCCAAATATTATTTCACAATTTTATATAAATTTTATTATTCATCATTTCCCATAATTATAACTAATAATATTTTTTGTTTTTACCACATCACAATTAAATATTACATATTATATCATGTCAATTGGTATTCAAAAACATAAATTTTCAATTAATTCGTTCTTATCCGACCCATCAAATCCCACCAAGAAACTACTTGAAACCACACCCAATCTTTAATGGTTGCCAGTCGTGCTATTCTAACAAGTATACACATTTTCATACTAACATGTCACACTAGAAATGACGTTTCATAATATAAATATACATTTTTTTAGAAAGTATGGCTATTTTAACAACTATGCAACCAAACTAAGAGCATCTTTAGTCATACCATTTTATAAATCTCCATAAATCTTACTTTTACACTTCCCAACATGCTACATCATCCAAAATTAACTTCATCCTTACTCCTACACTCATAAACCTCCAATAACCATAAACCCCATAAACCTCATTTTTCATGGTCCCACATGTTTCCCACTTACTCTTATTTAATATTATATAATTTATACTCTTATATTCTTATTAATATTTTAAAACTATAACTCTAATTTTTATTTTTATTAAATGTCAATATTTCATATATTTATAAAAAAATATATCTAAAAATACAATATAATTATATATAATTGTATTGCATTATTTATAATTATATAGTGTTAAGTACGTACGAATGTATAGTTTTACTTCTAAAAATCACATAGCATAGAACTTAAATAATGTTGAAAATTAAATTTTGAGTACAAATCATTTCTAAATCTTAATCTTGGGAAATAGGTTCATTCCAAATGTTAATAAAATTTTAACAAAAATAGTTGAATTTTACAAAAATAAAATTTTAATTTTTTACCAATAAAGTTAATAAGAATCAATTAACAAATAATTCTTCGTTTTCATTTAAATAAATATTCTTTAACAAATAAGTCTTCTTTTTACGTGGTGAGGCTCAACCATGGAGTATGGACAATTAAAAAAACAAAAGGTAAGACATGTCAGTGGAGTAGGTGGGCCACGGTAAGGTTTTGGAGAGGTTTGAGTTTGTAAAACTGGTTTGAAAACTCAAACCTCAAACCTGCCTACTTTAACCATAAAACTGAGAGGTTTATGTTTTCAAACCTCCCAAAAACCCACCACTAAAGATGCCCCAACAGCATTTGTGTTTTGTTATGTTGCATTTGTTTTCTTATGCTTGATTTGCACAAGAAATTTCTAGTTGTGCAGAAGTACAAGCCAAGATAAAAGAAATAATAATAATAAAAAATGACATGCATGGTTACTATTATTTATCATCATCATTTATTGTCAATAAGCATATTGTCAATAAGCATATGGCTCGTTGGACACACCGCACATGCATCATCTACATTTAATTTTTATACTTTTTTAAAAAAAAAAAAAAAAATTGCTTTTTGAGTGGTCCTAAAACTCCATGATTGTTGGACCATTTTCAAAGCTGTAAGAGAGNAAAAGAAAAAAGAAAATACAATAATATCAATATATTCCCTCGTAATTGTATTTTGTCATGACCTTCTTCCAACAAACAATCAATCATATCTGATGTCTGGACTGAACATAAAAAGGCCAATGTAAGAAGAGAAAAATAGAGAAGGAAACAAAATAATATAAATAAAAAAGAAAATAAAATAAAAACTTTACATTGCAAAGGGTTGTGATTGTATTTCACTCTTTTCTCATGACCTTCCATGAGAAAACAAAGTAGTGTTACATGGGAGTGTTCCAAAAATTGAACTCAGGACCTCTCGCACCCGAAGCTAGAATCATACCACTAGACCAAACACCCATATGGCCTTAGGTTGATTTTCTATTTTATAATATATTTATTTTCGAACAATAAATAAAACCAACCGATTGCGTAAATAATTTTTTTATGAAAACTCAAGAACAATGACGTTATGGTGGTCGGCCGCGTAAATCTATTTAATGAGGGATAAAGCCTGAAAGACTGCATTTGCTAGTTTTTAAGTTGATAAAAGTCCTTTTCTTTTCATTTTCACCTTCTTTTTCTCTTTTTCCTATGATGTGATGGGTATTATGATTTGTGATTGTAGTGAGACTATTGGCATCAATAATATAGAAAATGGGAAAGAGTGTCCTTGTAAGGACTTTTGGACCTTGGTAGGAAGCAATTTTTACCATTGCCTTCAAATTCAGCTTGATTGTAAGTTTATAAAAAATGAGTAAAAGACCCTCCTTGCAAGAAGGATTATGGTCTTGGCAGTGAGCAACTTTACCATTGCCATAAATAAATTCAGCCTGATCACAAGTTTAAATGCAATAATAGTTGGCTTTATTATTGATCTCAAAAAAAACTTTGTTGCTGTAATTTCTTGAAAAACTTGTATAATTCCACTGTATCGTGATTCTATATTCCAGGAGAATAATGTGGTGAATTGTTTGTGATTACATGATAATCAAATTCCAATTACATTACATGGAAAGTTACTTGTGCTACTGAATAAAACAACCTACTAAGTACTAATACAACAACTAATATTTCAAGAAACTGCACTGGATACAGCAAATCAACTAGAATTTTGCAAAGACAGCATAATATGTGAATTTTATGCAATATATAGGCAAATTGAGATGAATTTCTGATGCAATAGGTTATACAGATTTGACCTCTTCGAGTTGGTAACACATAAAGTCTTCAGAATACAGCATCCCATTTGTTAAGGTGAGTCGCCTTAGAGCAATTAGAAAACGAGACTGGGCAGAGAAATTAAAAGTCAATCTCGATTCAGATATTTCAAAACACTATGATCAAGGGACCATGGAAAATCGGGAAATCAGACTTACCCATTGGAATCCGACGAGTGTAAACCAACACCCAGTTAAGCCATAACCATTTGAGCTCAGCAGCTACATATACATGACAGTGAACAAATCGGTTAATAAAACTAAAAAAGTAGCAGAAAATATTAATGAAAGATATTAGATATTGATTACTTCATATTGATTAGTTCATATATATGCCATTCTTCTATAACGTAAACCGTTGGAGTCAATTGGATTCAAGAATTAATTCATTTCGTTAGGAATTCCCTCTTTTTGTAAATTCTTTTCTCCCTTCTGTTTTCTTTATCATTATTCCAACCGAATACATTCTAAACGGACTGTCGAAATTGATTAGGACGAATTATTGCTTGCAAAGAGGTAGTCTTTGTGTGCAACTTAACATTTCAATCATTTGGTCAAGGGAATGAGTAACTTGAGCCCATGAAAATCAGAAACAAATCTACAAAAAGGAGCATACCAATAGGAAAAGGGAGCCTAGACAAAAGATTCCAGTCATTGACATACTAATGAACTTCAAGTCTCGTCCAGCCTGTACGGTTAACATGCTCTTGTCAGATAAGACTGTCATAACCTTTAAAAAGTACAAAAATCATCGTTCCATCACATGTTTAATGAGAGCCTCATAAACCAAAAGAAACAGAGCACATACAGGCATTTAGGGTGTGTTTGTTTATAAATTTTCTTAATCCATACTGAATTCATACTCAAAATCTAACTTAACTCTAACACAACCCCACTATCCTCAATATTATTAATATAATTAAATAAAACCACTTAATTATTCTTACACATTACATCAACTTTAATTCACTATTCATCCACTCATATAATTTAACTAACCATCAATTCACATTATCTCTCTTCTACTTTTACATCAAATTAATTTTTTTTAATATTATTTTAATATAAATTCAAAATCCCACTAACACTAATCATACCACATTTTTCAAATTAACTTCAGTTAACCAAAAAAACTCATTTTGAGCGGATATATTTATATCCAAGCACGCCCTCAACTTATTAGAAATAGAATCTTAATTTTCAAGGAATCTGGAACGATCATCATGTAGCTCCATAATGCAACAAAATTATAAATGTTAATAGGAAAAATGGCAGGAATTACACGTAAAACTTCTTGAACATCTAAATTCTGAACTTCCAACATAGAACTCAATATAATAATTACACATATTCTACACCATAGGGATGTGAATAAAGCAATCATGCTCAACTCCCCATTGCTAAAACAATTATTATTTTCTATGAAAGATATCGAGGATAACACTTGCACACAGCATATTCAACAATGAATGAAACCGTCATTTTTTCCTAACTACAAAAGCAAGATATTTGGTATCCCTGCAGTAACTTATACGAGCTTGCCAAATGTCCATCCAATTATGAGGTCAGAATATCTACAGCTAAATTGGTCATCAGAAAAGAAGATTTAAAGTTGAGGGCAATATAGAACAGAACATACCAGTAGAGTACCCTCAAGGCTATGAGTACTGGGCGTGATGCACAATGCAAGGAAGTAAGGTATCAACACCTTGTGCATCTGCAAGTAAAGGACAAAACATTAAGGGTGTGTTTGTTTATAAATAAACTCAATCCATACTCAAAATGTAACTCAACTTTAACCAAACCCCACTATACAACAACAACAACATACCCAGTATCAATATAATTAAATAATACCAATCAATCATTCTTACACATCACATGAACTTTAATTCACTATTCATCCACTCACATAATTATAATTAACCATCACTTCACATCATCTCTCTACGACTTTTACACCAAATCAACTCGAATTATTTTATTTTAAATTTAATATAAACTCAAAATCCTACTAAAAATTAACCATACCACTTTTTTTCAAAATTAACCCTGATTAACCAATCAAACCCATTTTTAGCTGATATATTTGTATCCAAGCACGCCCTAAATACATCATCTTCAAATATTATACAGTGAAGCCAACCTCGTCGTTACTAATACATTAACAATACAATTTTTTTTCCAAAAGATTGCAAAGAAATGAAGTTTTGATGGTGCTGTTCTTATGACCCGATCACATAACTCAATTGTCATTTGGAATGGACTTACTATTTCAACAAAGGGGGCTGCTAAGGTGCAACAGCAGCTGTCAAAGTAAATTGGATGCCGCATTTCTTTTAACAACATAAGTTTAATTAACTTGACGCCTCATTGAACAATTTAACAATTATTAGCGTAGCACAAAAAACCCATAATTCTTGAATTCTTATCATGTTAATTCAAAAGGAAAGAGAGAGGTCGTAGAGAAAATGAAGTGAGAAGAAAGTAGCGAAAGAAATTACCTCCAGTGTCACCTCAGGATCATGGGAAAATATTTTAGGGAATAGCCAAGGAACTGATGTTCCAATACATCCCAATACCAGTCCAGTTAGTCCGCCAATAATCACCAATGATTTCAGTAATGTCCGAGCCTGTCACCACACAAACATTTTAAAGAATATATGTTTTGACGTTTCAAATGATACGTTTATCAAATTCTATTAGACCACTTCCAAGGTTGGAAATGCAATAAAATAAAAAGGGAAATAAAAAGAAAGAAAAATAAAGGAATGAATAATTTAAAGACATGTTGTCATTGAGTCTCAAATGAAAACTTCAAAACCAGATATTTTATTGCATGCTCAAGGATCTTGCAAATATTATGGAGAAAAAAAAGAATAGCATAAATGCACATATATTAATAATTGAAGTCAAAGAGTTGAGAATTGCAACCTTTGGTAAATTTCGACTATCTCCATAGAGCAGCTCAGGCATAAAAGACTGGGCTGTTTGAGAGAGAGGCTCACCCCATACAGTACACATACAGAAAACTTGTATCATGACCTGGAAAACAGGCAGATAGTGGGTTGAGAAAACTATGCCACAGTAGATGGAAGAATTTTCACATGATAAACGATAAATCTAAACCTGATGAGCTGCACCGATTTTTGTACCCATGGATGTTGCAAAGTACACAAGCAGAGAGTAAAAGGCCACCTAAATTATAGAATGCTTGAGAAATTGCAGGGAAATAAGTGATAACTGGATAACCAGAATGATGAAAGGTATTAAAACCTTTGACATCATTGTCACAAAAACTGGAGCTGCAAGAATGAATATCTGATAGAGTTCATCAGGTGATGGAATAGAGATGGCAAAACCATTATATCCCTTGCTGTTCAGAGCTTGCACCATCATGTAAGCTGCAACAACCTAGGACAAACATGCATTAGTAGAAAACTCAAATGAATAGGAGTACTGTGCAAATATATTATCAGGCATAGTCGCATACCTGAGATACCATTGTTGCCCAAGCAGCTCCAGCAATACCATATCCTAAGAATCTGCACAACACTATGTCACCGATGCCATTAATAGCACTTGCCACTGCCAGAGCCTTTAAAGGTCCCCATGAATCTTTCATTCCCAAGCTGTGCATCAAGAAAAGGAAAAGTGAACATATAAGGAACGCAAGTAATTTTATGATCATGCACTTGCTTTGCTTCATGCAAACCCAGAGCTACACAACTAATTTGCAGACTCTAGCCATGGATCACACTTGATTTAGTTCAAGTCTCAGAGATTTAAAACATGGCTACATGTTAGAAAGTTGTCATAATAATCACAAATATAAAATTAAAAGATTAGATTAGTGAAGAAACACGCAGAAGAAAATTGCACGAAAATACGAGTGAAGGATATATATTATATAGTCATCGATGAAACAAATCATTAAAATGACAGTTCTGATTAACAAATACCTTTTCAGATACTGAAAACAAAGTGCAACCAGAATAAAACACTAGGATAAGGCAACATAAAAACTAGTACACAATACTACCAAGCAAATAAAAACATTATGAACAAGTGGTGCATGGTGATGTACCTTGCACTTTGAGCAACCCAACCAATCAGCACTGCTGGCCATGCCAAGCCTCGAATCTGTAAAAACATATCGTTTACTAACCCTAGAAGATGGAAGAACGAGTAATTACTGATCAAAGAAACACGGAAACGGCCAAGACTGGCAAGAAGTCCAGTTAGGTCCTGCAGGCAATGGCAAACCTGGACATATGTGTTTGCTGCAGTTATTATTTCCACATTACTTGCTCCTGTAAAAGCTGGAGATTGATGCAAAGAAATTCATCAGCCCGTAATGGAAAATAAATAGAAGAATATAGCACAGTGGACAGAGTTTTTCCTTCTTTACCAGTCAATGCCCAAGGACCATAGCACCTCGTAAAGAACAGCATTAGAAAACCACTGACCAACCCAATAAACAGCAAGACAGATATTTGATGCTGCACCTCATCTTTATCCTGAGAGACTTGACCACAGCCAAGTATTAGTGTATAACCATGTATTAAAATACACTGAATATTATTAATTCCCACAAAATTTGTACAAAGAAGCAACATACAGAATTCAAAACTAGATTCAGACCTGTCTAGCAAGAGATGTTGCAAACAAATTTGCAGTATCAATTGAAAAACACGACACGCAGCTCGTATATCATAAAACACCGTATTAAAATACACTGAATATTATTAATACCCACAAAATTTGGACGTAGAAGAAACACAGAGAATTCAAAACTCGATTCATACCTGTCTAGCGAGAGACGTTGCAACCAAATTTGAAGTAGCAATTGAAAGAAACATGAACACATAGCTTGTATTATCACAGAACACCGTCCCGGGACCTGCCAAAATCGCATACACAACAACATAAAAGAATCAGCACAGTTGACGCTACTGCTATATCATAGCCAAACACAACGAAATATCACAACAATCAATCAAATAAATAGATAAATTCATAATATAACCTAAAGCAGCTAGCTCAATGGAGCTGCCTTGACCAATAACAGCAGTATCGATCAAACTCATCAACGGGCCACAAACCCAGAGCCCGACCGCCGGCCCAGAAAATTTGGCAATTTCAACCATCTGACCCCATAAACCCTCTTTTTCAGAGAATTCTTCCTTTTTATTCTCAGAAATGTCCTCTGCCAATGGCGCCTTTTCTACCACGGCTATGGTTTCTTCTTTTCCGTCTTCAACTGACAAAACTCGATCGGAATTGCTTGTAACTACATGGCTAGGAGACACGCAATTGGAGATAAAACCCCGATTTATTTTCAGCTTCAGTATTGGTACAGTGGGTTCAGGTACGATGTATTTTCGATGGAATTTTCTGCTGCGTGTGTGGAGGTTAGGGTTGCAAGAGTATTGAATTGGCGCTCTGAGATTCATGGCTGGAGTTTCTGTCGGCTGCTGCCAAGCTTAGAGAGAGAGAGAGAGTAGCGCCAAATGTTGAATGAAGAATTGATGATACAGTGGAAAATGTGTGGAGACGAAAATGAAACGGAAAATGTTGAGACCAATAACGGTCGTTTTGTGTGCATCTGTGGCCGAGATAATTTTGCCTCTTCCAAATTCCAACTGCCAAATTTTTGTCTTTTTTTTTTTAATATTTAAAATTATGCTTACAAACTACTCCTATATTTTATAAAATATTAAATAAAATATACAATTAGTATGGTTAAATACAATTTTTTAAAAAAATATTAAATACTTATAATAATTGTATTTTACATAATTATTATTATTTTTTATTTTATAGTTATTGTACATTTCATATATAGAAATTAAAATTTATTTTCGATGTATTTTGAAAAAAATATTAAACATATAAAATAAAATTAATGAGAAGAAACAAGTTCAGATATTACAAAAAGTCACAATTTCTTTTCATAAGACAGTAATACATAGCTTAAAATCAAGAATTTTACATTTTTCTATCTATTTTCCATTGTATATTGGTGGATGCCCCAAAACTTATGAAATATTTGTAGATTACAACAAACTTCTAATAACAATACATTATACATATCTAGCAAATTTAATTTACAGGGCTCTCAACCAACTAACAAGTGGAACTACACCAAAATTACAGAGTTTTCATTTTCGCAAGTTGATAACGAGACATATCTTCAGAATAAAGTATCCCATCTGGTAAGGTGAGCCGTAGCAGCAAACCCGTAAACAGAGACTGTTCATAATACCACCACGCACCACCAATAATAAAATTATAAAATGATTCACAATAACAAAAAATAAAAAATAAAAAAAATAACGGTGTAACAATCACACACTTTCAATTTCAATAAATATGTATATTTTCATAGACAATTATATATTTTCTACAAATATATATACTTTATATCGAAATATTGTACTTTGAAAAACAATGTAAACAAGAATGTAACATTTAACCACATAAGTATGAATTTTGTTCAAAAAGTATGACGGGTCGACTTGCGTACTTCTAGACTGTCTCACACAAAAATTTGTTGCCTAATGGTTAGGCGGGTCGACCCGTCATTTCATGACATTTATGTTGTTTTTTAAAGGTATGATATTTTCTAATATAAATATGCATATTTGTGAGAAAAGTATACTGGTCTAATAGTTAGACCGGCGTAACAAAAGATACCTACCACACAATAAATTGTGAAATGAAATATGTTCGAGCTATAAACTTACCAATTGAAATGCAACAAGTCCAAACCAACACCCAGTTAAACCATAACCACTCCTGCTCAACACCTGCACCAATAAGAGTGTTCATAGTGCATATACACTAGAAGATAAGTTCAAAATGTATAACTACAAATACTACCCGTGAATGTAAATATATTTAAATTGCAAAGAACTCCATCGTGATGAAGTCAATTTGCAATTTGGAAACAAATGTCAAAGGGTTGTTTCTAAACTTGCAAGATATATGGCGTAATATTAGTCGTAAGGATAATTTTTCTTGGAATTAGATTAAAAATTCAAGCAGAAAAAAAAGTAGAAAAAAGATGGAATAGCAGAATAATGTAATGCAACTTGAAAATGTAGCTATGTACCAGCAATAGGAGTGCGCCTAAACAAGCAATCCCACTCATTGATATACTGAGGAACTTCAAGTCTCTACCCGCCTATACGTTTACAAGGATCTAATGTCAGGAACTGAGAAGTAGAATGCCATCGTCTGGCAGCACTTGTAAATATAATTGAAACTGATAACCAATTACCAATCATAAAGAAATATAGCTATAAATACATATACCATTAGGGTGCCCTCGAGGCAGTTAATAGGCGGTGCAGCACATAGTGCGATGAAGAAAGGGATAATCACCTTATGCATCTGAGTATAAGATAAAATTAAATGATGTTAACATTTAATAAAAGCATTCAAATTAAACGTCGTTAACATGATATAGCTCGGTGACTGAAGTTTGGTTGAGTTACTAATGAGTGCAGGGTAGAGTATATAATTTATTCATCATCCAACTTGGCCGGTTTTCAGGTAAAGGTTTCACAAGTACAATCTTTTCTTCCATGCTCAGTTTAAAATTGGAGTTAATACTGTGCAATTTGGAATTTGGTCAAAAACGATGTGATTTCTTAAATCATGTAGCAATACCTTTGACCAACCTGAAATATCTACACCAATTCTTGAGCTTAATGCTTCCATATAATTTCAACTAGGGGACAAAGCAAAGAATAAGGAGAAAGAAAAAAATTACAGCAAGGAGAAAAATTTATTGTCCATTGCAAATGGAGCTGGAAGAGTCATTGTTGACAATTCTCCTGGCATAGTGCTAATAATGGACTAGATCAAAATGGCTCAATTAAATTCTGGTGCTTCTTCTATTAGTGAAGTTTCTAGAAAAAAAAATATATATCAAACGGCGCAATGCACCTTGGGTCGCTATGGAAACAGCCTCCTTGTATAATTACAAGGGTAAGGTCTGCGTGCAACTGACCCCCCAGACCCCAACCTGTTGGGAATATACTGGGTATGTTGTTGTTGTTGTTGTAAGGAGAAAAATTTACAAACGACCGTTTAACGGTCGTTTGTACTCCAGTTTTGATCTATATATTTACATTTACCCATAAAAAAAAAAAAAGAATAAGGAGAAAGAAAGAAAAATGCTGACCTCGTGTATGACTTCAGGATCAGATGAAAATAATTTAGGAAATAGCAAGGGAGTTGCTGTTCCAATAGATCCTAATATCAGCCCACTTATTGTGCCAATGATGACTAGTGACTTCAATAGTTCCCGCACCTATTATATCACAAAATATTAGGAGAAAAAGGTTTGAAGCAAAGCTGAGTATATTGCAACATTTCATCAGGAATGTCTCCAATTAATATCATTTCAGGACTCTAGAAAGGCTAAAGAAAATACATGTGATCCTCTTTATTCAGATGAAAAACTTCTAATGCTGTCACACAATATGGAAATGGAAACATTGAGTAAAAAGACAAACTAACTGATTATAATATACTAATAACTTCAGAATGGCAAACCTTAACTAAACTGCGATTAGCTCCATACATCAGCTCCGGCATAAATGATTGTGCCGTTTGAGAAAGAGGCTCCCCCCAAACAGCACATATGCAGTATAATTGTATCATCACCTGGTGATAAGTTGATGTTTATTTACTGCCTTTCAATATAGTAAACACATCCTTGTTTAAGTAGCATCAGTCTTACTAATAATAATAATAATAATATTAATAATAATTTATATTATTGTTAATATTATTATTATTATTATTTTCTTTTTAAAAAAAACAACCAACCTGATGGGCGGCAACAGTTTTTGTACCCATTGATGTAGCAAAGAAGACAAGCATAGCGTAAAAAACTACCTGCATCACATTATATCACATTATATCAGGACATCAGATAATCAAAAGGAAAAAGTAACAAACAGAATTATGTATTGTTGTCATAAACCTTTGACATAATTGCCACAAAAGCTGGAGCAGCAAGCATGAATATCAGACGGAATTCAACGGAAGATGGAATGGAGATAGCAAAACCATTGTATCCCTTCTTATTCAAAGCCCTAATCATCATGAAAGCTGCCACAGCCTACGGCAAGCATGCGTTAGTGCAAATAGAAATAGAAAGCAATAGTTTCAAAATATAAATAACTATACAAACCTCCCATGCATTTAATCTCCTGTCATGCGTTTATCAACAGTAGCCTTATAGCGGGACGCAATTTTCAAAATAGAAACAAGTATCATGAGATTATTTGTATTTATAGAAGATAGCTGGGTATTTTGTTTAGACGAACGTGAAGTGTATGTTCCATTATTCACCTTCAAAGAACAACACATCAGAAAGCAAACAAAAAAAACTTTATGATATCAGTAATTTTTTTATCTTGTTTAAGAAAGAAAAATGTTTGTAGTTGTACAAGCACACCTGAGACACCATTGTTGCCCATGCTGCTCCAGCTATACCAAATCCAAGGAATCTGCATAAGACTATGTCACCAACTCCATTAATGGCACTCGCAACTGCCAAAGCCTTGACAGGTCCCCAAGAATCTTTCATCCCTAAGCTGTGGAACACAAAAATAAACACGTTGAAGGAACTAACAGGATTAGAGATGTAGATTGCAATCAGAACAGATATGCACTGGTGGGTGTTAGAACAGGTATGAATCAAACTATTACTCTAATCAACTTAACAAAATTAAGTGAGTTTCAAGAAATAGAACTCAGATAGAATGCTTTATTATAAAGCCCGTTTCAGCAGGATAACTGTACAACAGTACTCAGTACAAACCGCATATTCGTGGTTTCCATGAAAGATGCTTGTGAAATCTGAAGAGAACGTAGGGTGCATGGCATGTGTACAAGAAGAAGCTCATTAGCTACACTGAAAGTACTTACTATAGTGGACTTTCAGAGTAAGACAACGATAATAAGCCTTATATGAATGGTGATTGATGAAGTTAAATCAAGAAAACATGACAAGTAAGTAACAAAACAAATTAGGAATACAGATTACGAAAGACAACCTATACAGCTCTAATACAGAAAGAGGAGAGGGAAACCTCAATAAAATCAATTCTTAATGACAAACCTTGCACTTTGAGCAACCCATCCAACAAGCCATGCTGGCCAGACCAACCCTCGAATCTGAAGAAAGACACTGTTCACTAGCCAATAATGAGAGAGTTCAATCAAACTAAAAAGGAAAAAGGAAAATCAAGTTATAGCAACAAATTTAACTGACTTCACAAAGATCAACTAGGCTGTAACATTGAAGTATGTGCTAATAGAAGATGCAGTTTAAGATTTTACCATTACTGAAAATTCTGCCTCTTGAAATAAATAGTACAGCATTTGCTTCTCGTAATTTGATAGAGTATATAACTAACTATTCCACTACACACAATCCTTGAGGTCAAAAGCAAGTTCCCACTCAAGTAATGTCTTAGCACTCTGAATTAGTTAAAAGTAACACCAAATGATCAATAACTGGGACCAAACACATTACAGATACTCACATACTTGCAAAGTAACCAAGTACTTAAATCAATGACAAGATCAAGTTTATAGGGACCTGAACATATTTATTTGCTGCAGTTATGATATCAGCATTCTTTGCCCCTGTAAAAACTGGCATCATGTAGAGACATTCGTTAGAACAGAATGGTACCAAAAAATAATCTCAAAAACATAAGTTATGACTGATGAGTAAAATGAATTGGTCGAATTGGTCCTCTTTACCAGTCAACGCCCAACGGCCATATAACTTTGTAAATAAAAGCATCAGGATACCACAAGTCAGTCCCACAAACAGCATGATAGATATCTGATGCTGGACCTCATTTTTGTCCTGGTTGCAGGAGAGAATAGGGCATGTATTAAGTAATCGTAACAGTTTTTACCACATAATGACATAACAATAACTGATCGACAATTTAATATGATAAAATCAATAGATATCTAAAAGATCAGTATCTGGTGTTGGTGACAAACGGGGGTTGACGGGTGCGGTCCCACGGACGAAGCGCACCAAATCAGGGAAGCCCAAATTAAGCCCAAGTGAGGTTCCATCCCAAAACCAATTGATGGTAGGAGGAGTAGCACATAACACTTATAAGTTAACACTTATAAGTTAGGCCTATTTTCCCTGTATAAACGATGTGGGACAACTCACAAGTGTATATTCTAACAGTTGGACCTCATTTTTATCTTGAGTGCTTAGTCAGTTAGTTGCAATAGCATATACAGCTAAAATAAGGTAACTTTATGGTGTCACATGTGAACAACCTTGTGGAATAAATAACTTTACAAGTGTCAACAATTTAATGTGGTGGAATCTAAAATTAAGACAACAGACCTGCCTTGCAAGACCCGTTGCTACCAAATTTGAAGTTGCGATTGAAAGAAATGTAAACATTGCACTTGTGTAATCGCACAGCACTGTTCCTGGTCCTGATAAATATATATACACACAAGGAAAAACCCAATATAAACTTCCATCAGTAATCAAAATGCTGGCTATAATATATAGAGCTGTAAAATGAGCCGAGCTCGAGGTCCTCATTCTTGAGCTCGGGCTAGTTAATAATTGAGCTCATAAACTAGCTCGAGCACTTTATCAAAATTAACGAGCCGAGCTAAGCTAATAATTCTGGTAGTTACCTACAAATCCTTATTTCTTGAGCTTTTACAAGCTCGCTAACTAAACAAGCCGAGTCGAACTAACGAGCTGAGCCCAAAACGGCTCCGTTCATTTAACACCGGTAACAAAATATACAAAACAAAACCAACAGATACAGATGCAGATGAACGTTCTTTCTGTATCAAAATCTCATTTACGCAAGTACAAAATCTCATTTACGCAAGTACAGCAAATTAAGTCCGTTTAGCATAATATTAGAAAGAAAACAAGGAGAAAACAAACTTACGAACCTAAGGCAGCAAGCTCGATCGAGCTGCCCTGACCAACAACAACAGTATCAATCAAACTCATCAGCGGCCCACAAATCCAGAGCCCAACAGCTGGACCAGAGAACTTCACAATCTCAACAATCTGATCCCACATACTGTCCTTTCCTTGCAAATCCTCTCCTTTGTTCTCTGAAACATCTCCAGCTAATGACGGCCCTTTCTCGATTGACGCCATTGCAGCTTCATTTGCCTCCTTATCTGAAGAAATTCCAGTGACCACGTCTATTTCACTGCCTGAAAAACTGCAGTTGGTGATAATCGAGCGATATTTTTTGCAGCCTCTGATTCGGAGGCTTGATTTGGTTAGATTTGATATTTGGTGGAATTTGTAATTGGGCGCGTGGAGATTGGGTATGGGATTGTGAGTTAGGTTTAGGGTTTTGAAAATCATGGCTCACAAATTTTGGCGCCCCCGCCAGTTCTAGAGGAGGAGAAGAACAGATAGGAGCGCCAAATGGTAAAAGGGAGGAGGCAGCAAGAATATGGGGATTTTAGGTGGTGGGTTTTTGTGTGTTGTGTGGTCATGGATGATGCAAAAATAAAGAGAAAATCCCCTCTATGTAAATTATGCTATTGGATATAAATTAATATTTATATTAATTATATTTTAATATTATTTCCTATTATAACTAATAAATTGTAAATATATTTTAAAAGTTGATAACTTTTGTATTTCTTATCGGTTTTACATATATAATATATCAAATTAATCATCTTTTGATAATCTTCGATTTGACATCCATATTGTATATATATATATAATAAATAAATTATATTTATTTTTATAATAATAATAAAATTATTTATTAAAATTAATTAGAAAATAAAATTATTTATCAATTAATATATTTATGTTTAATGTAGTTATATGTTATAAGGTAGAAAAATTGTTATAATATAAAACATATAAGTCGTACAAGTAACATGTGTCATACTAAAATATATAATATATACTCCCTCCTATTTTTATTATTTCTCACTTTGGCTTAATTGATCATTGATAAAATAAATGTCGTTTTAAATATTTTGTTCCTATTTTTTCATTTTTAACTCTCCATTTAATACACATTGTCTCTTCATATCCCATCTCTATCGTTTTTCATAACATCTATTAAATAGGGTTAATATTGTCAAGGAAAGAAATCATAATTAGTGTGTTGCATTTGAATTGATACTATGAAGTCCGTTTGTATTTTACTATTTATTCATTTATATATATATATATATAGAATACAAAACAGTAATATATATACTTATAAATAAAATTTAAATTTATTTATCAAACTAAATTAAGTTATATCAAATAAAACTATAAATTATATTATAAAGTAATAGAAATTGGTATGTATTATTTTAAAAATGATATTTATTTCAAATCTAATTGGTATGTGTCAATGTAATAAAAATAAATAACTATTTATATAAATTCTAAAATTACATATAAAGTTAAAAAAATTGTGAAGCACGACTGATACGACACTGAGGGCCGAAACCAGAAAATTAGTTGAGAGGGGGAAAAAGACATGACATAATGGGTTCAGAACCGATAACATTTCGGTTACCGTTACACATAAATCGGTTCGGTTCGATTTATTTCTCATCGGTTCGGTTCGGTTCGATTTTCCGTTTTCGGTCAAAAAATATCAACCCTACCCTGGAAAATAAAAGAGAGTTGAAGTCTTTTATATGGGCCAATTAAAATTATAGAATAATAATAATTAATATACAAAATTAATAGTAACATAAAAGAAGTGTTGAATTGTTAATTGACAATCGTAGACAAGTTGGTTGGTGAGTGACGTTTAAAAACAAAAAATTTGCTGGTGCAAAAATAAATTTGAAGATGGAGCAAATTAAATTTTTTAATATTAATAGTAAAAAAAATGAAAATTTGAGGGGGGGCAATTTCCCCCCTATAACTAAATTTTTTGTAGTAAATGTGTTGTTATTAATAAATGTCCGAATTTATGATATGAAATAGATGATTTTATTTTGACATGAAATGTCATAATTTAAATGGTATGAATTTTATTTGATATTTATAAGAGTGTATTTTAAAATTTTGAAAACAAAATAAGTGGAATGAATTTTATTTGGTATGAGTATTAAAGTCAAATTATAGGTTGAATTTTTTATAAAAACAAGGTGAAAGATTCTCAAATTTAATTCCTCTTGATAATTCGTTCTCCTCTTTCCCATCCATCTCCCAGAGGTCTCCCTCCTCAAATGCTTTCAAAAACCAACTTTTTTGTCAAAATTATTCTTTTTTATCCGATTGAGGGAGCAATTTGACAAATCCATATAGTTCAAGAGGTGATTTGTAAAAAAAAAAGTTTATATGGTCATGCAAAAAAATCGTTATACTTCCAATGACGAAA